CAAGGATGTCCCTTTCTTGCAGCACAAGTATATCCCAAAGATGTTCCAGAGAAATCGCCTTAGCACAAGCGAGTCTGGAACGGATTCGTTTCCCGCCGTGCAGGACAACCCTTTACTTACTGGGATGCCAATGCTCCACCTTCTAGGACTCCCCAGAGAATGATAGTAAAGGAGGGAAATCCTTTACTCGAAGATCTCAAGATATCTCCGTGAGGCAAAACTTAGCTCCTGCTTTTTCATATGGGGGAGGGGGAGGGGGTATCACGCCTCAAATTGGTAGGCGTGATAAGTGAGGGTTACACGAAGGAGGAGAGTTGTATAACCAAAACGGGCCTCACGCACCGATAGGCAGGCTGGCGAGTCTGTTCGATATCCAGGAGAGGAGAACGTGGCGAAGCCCTTGCCTGTCGCTGTGTAAACGAAGTCCGCTTTGGTTTTATCCACCACTTCCTCCCTCATGTAAGACTCTTATGCCAACGGCAGAGGATAATTTAATGCATAGGCACAAAGTAACATCCAATGACGTGACGTGAAGCGACATTGTTCATTCGGATAGATTGGAGAGTGGGGAGTGAAATGTAGCCCGAGGCTGTGCTAGTGCGTGTGAAAACTTGCTTTTTGCTTGAATGTGCTAGCAAGGGACTACCCACCATCATATCACCAGTCTGGCTTCGCTATCCATGCAATCTAGTGGGTTTTTTCTCGGGTCGGATTCTCATTGGATGTGTTCCCTGGATTCGATCGCAGGTTCTCTTGTATGCAAGTGAGTTTGAGTAGGCCTACTCTCGAGACAAAATCTAGTTTATATTACGATGTAGGTAACACTTTGAATACATTTTCTTTCCAAAAGAGTCTCATCCCTTTGGCGATTTATATATGTATTTCTCGGGCTTCCAAACACGAGATTTTGGAACACGTGTGATATTTTCGTTTGTTCTGCAAATCACGCAAGCCGTAGACTTTCGTGCTCAGCTGTCGGATGTAGAGACTAGACGTGAGATTAGCGATTGAGACATGTTGGATATTCGCTTTCTCGAACCCAGTCCCCCTTGGTCGGTTACTGTAAGCGATGGAAGAATTATTGACCTTCACCAGACCGCGACGTACATGGAACTGTGGTCGGAAAGCGTGGCGGCAGTAATACATTGCGCATGTCTCACCCACTTCACGCCTCAGCATAGCCGAAGGCCCTTTGAAAGGATCGGATTAGTGGTTATCCAGTGGCTCGTTCATCGCGGGATCTATGGAGTGCTGTCGGTGTCAGTATATCCTACTTCTGGCAAGACGCATGGGCTCAGATTTCCAACCAGGATAGTTATGACAGAAATGATGATCAGACTAGGGGCCCCCGTAAAATTACTGACGAAGAACCCCCCCCCCCCCGGGAAATTCCCCGGTATCCCTGTGGGCCAGGCCGACCCTGGATGAATATGATTGAAAAATCTAAAGTTGGAGATCAGGGCACATTGGAGACATCTCCCGTCAGTCACCCGCCCGGAATAATTGTGGAGATGGGCATCACTCAGGTCTACTCCACTCACGTTCTTGTCGTAGTCTTGGACAACTGACGGCTTTAGGACCACACCAGTTTTGGTTTCAATATCGCACATTACTGCATCAGGAATTGTGCCGATCAATGTCCCTTCTTGTCGGTCCTTCCATCTCAAAATAACTGTTTCTCCCTATAAGCAGTGGGAAGTTCTCTTTTCAGTTTTGCTTTTTCAGAACCTCTGGATTTTTCTGCTTAGTCTCACGGTTTCATCAGCCTTCCTGCACATAACGTTCCCGTAAGGTCTGGACTTTTGTAGCAATTATCAACGTATATACAATAGCCCTCATCGAGAAGCTGGTCGGCCAGGTTCAAAATAAAGCGGTCAGTTGTTGTCTCAGCAGGGCATTGAGTGCCATAGGTTGTGTTCTGCCCTTTGTACACGATGAAATTCCGCACATGATCTGATCTACTTTCACACAATCCCAACAGTTGGACTCCAAATCTCTTTTTCTTTAATTCATCCTCCAGCCTAATCGTCCTTTCCTTAACATTAGATTTCGCGTCGAAAAGCTTTTTACTCGATGACTGCTCATTGAATTCGTCATTATTCACGAAATGCAGAAATTTCGCCCAGGATTTGGACGGTGAAACCTCTTTTTTGACACTTTCCAACAGAATGGTGTTCCAATGCTTCCACCTTTCAAAAAGAGCATTTTGGGTTCAGGTTTACTCACAGAGAGCCCTAGAAATGCTTTTATCTCTGCGGCACGCGTGTCCACGCAGTTTTTTCTCTCTGGACCGCGCTCTGAGATTGAGATGCTTCTCAGGGCATTGCCGTGCATACCTGTTTCATTTACAATCAGTCCAATCAAATCCTTTCCCAAGAAAAGTTCGAAATGCTGAAGAAAATTCTCTTCATCTTGAACAGAAACCTGCACTCCACTGTTTCCACAAAAACCAAATGCTTCTTTTCCCATTGAGAGTTCTTCCGTCATCAACCATTTCAGCTTCGGCCTCGGACTCAGTTTCCTCACTTGGAATTTCATTCTTACGAATCAAATCGAGAGTCTTTCGAGGACCTCCAAACCTTACTCAACATTTTCACTAATAATGTCATCATTTAAACCTTCTACAATTTCCCTTTCATCCATGTCTAACTTACGAGGTCGCTTCTTGTCGGTTGTCAAATTTGTGACTGTTCTATGACAAGGGCACTGAACTAAAGCTAAGGCTTACCCGTTAAAATAAAGTTTTTTTTAAAAATATATATTTCAAAATTAAATCCCACTACTATCCCAGTATTTTTTAATGGTAACCAAACGTAGTTTAAAAGAAGATAACAGTTACATATGTCAAAACATTTCGATCTTCAATATAATATTCGGGGCAAGAGATGAGTTGTGCGCCATATATTCGTGGAGGAGGGAATAATAAACCTACATGATCTGCTCGCCGAAAAAAATACGACATACCCATTGCGTAAGGGCTGCGAAAAATAGCACGACGAATATATGCATCATACCCATCTAGAGAGCGCTTCATCATGACGGGTACATGTCATATCCACCCACATTCCGGAAATCTCATTTCCCTACCCGACTGATAGGACTAATGGTCTCTTTTTGAACTGAAACGTCGCGGAACCTCTCCATGAGTTTCGTCACTTCATTTAGCACGGGATCGATTTCTATGTATCATTCCTTCCTTGGAGCAGACAAAACGTGATGCAACAATCCTTTATTTGCCACCAACTCTCTTCCTTTCATATGGGCATATTAACATCCCATTCGCGGATTCCCTTCCGTAGACATCAGAGCTAAAATCTAAGTTTCATAACTGTTTTAATTTCTCCAGCATGCGGCCAAGAATAGAGAGCTTCACTCAACATTCTATAACCAATATCGAGTGGACCGTCGGAAGAATTAATTTTTTTTATTATGATTTTTGTTCATGCCTCAAGAGGTGAACTTTGCGGCAGGGTTTCCTCTATATTGTTCAACATTATTGATGAATCATATATATTTCAGACCATGGAATCAAGGTTTCAAACATCTATGAAACATGAATTTATGATTTATTAAATCAGAAGCATATCGATATTTTTTCCGTCGTAGAGCTAGTGATGTCATTTATATGGTGCATTTTTCCATTTCCGAACCGGTAGCATAAGAAATTCCAGGAATTGTGAATCATTACATCAGAATGTAAATATCCATTTTCTCTGATCTGATCAAGGCCATTTCGAGAAAAAATTTTCAGGAGAAAGCATTCGAATTCATCCAGAGTCACAGAATGCATAGAAAGACGTGTCTCGTGTATTGACTATTCAATTGACTCATTGACAAGCTCTTACGGATATTTTGATTTAAGAATGAATAAGCATTTCTTACAGCACTGGTGTGAATTGCACGATGTCGCATTTCACAGTATGTACCCTGTATAGTCTCCCACGGGCACACTCACAGTAAAGGCTGAACTATCCAAATCATGGTTGACATGGTGTAACGTCACTTTCCAGGATTTACTAACCAGGTGCATGGGAACGAGTGAATGGGAACAGCATGCCCATGGTCCTGAAGATCATCTACCAGCACGATAGCAACACGGCAGGAGCTCAATGCTGTCTTCGGCGGCATGACTGTTAGCAGTTGGCGGAAAAGTTCGGTCCAGCTGCTTCTGCATTAGCACCAGTGGCGTTGTCGTGGTTTCGACAATGGGGCGGTTTAGCGGAACGGTGGGGGGGCTTACTTCTCCTCGCCCGGTGGGGGGAGGGGGGTTTGAACCAAACATGGAGGGGCTGAAGCCCCCCCCCCCCTTCGCTACGCCACTAATTAGCACACACCCCACAATGCTGTGCATTTTATGCGCAAAATGGAAGACTTGTGTACCCACTGGTAAAACCTCTTTGCCGGGAAGGGTTCAGGCGACCATTCATTCCAAGCGGAACCCAACACAATTCCTGGAAGAATAGGCGCATCAAAACCAAACAAAGACTCCTTTGCAGCCTAATCTATTCCATAGCCCTTTATTCTTGGTGAGACATGGTGAAAAGCACAGACGAATGGCATTTGAACTGAGAATGCACTGGAAGGTTCTCGACATTCAATGCTACGACAAAGTTACCAAAGAAGAAAAGAGGAGACTCTCCCATGTAACAGAACAGAAGAGAACAAGACCTGGAATGTGGTCCAGAGGAGGAGAGACATTAGCTCAATCACATGCTAAGGATGGAAAGGGATCGGCTCCTCAAAATCTGTCAGCAAGGGAAGACAGTTGACATGAGAAGACAAGGTCTTGCGAAACACCGGCAGAACGTGGAAGCGGCAAAAAGCAAGGCAGACTGCCAGAGTTGGGACATTTTGTCAGAGAAGAGTGCGTCCGTCAGGACTACTCGTAGAAAGAAGAAATATGCATAATTTATTAGCATATCACTGCGCAAAATAGGGAAGAAAAAAAGCCCGCAGATACTAGGACTTGCTAATGAAAAAGGAATGAGTAGGCTCAGAAGTCAGAGGTCGAATTGAATATTGTTGATTATCCAGGGAAGGAAATGTTGCACCCTGGTATACACAGCAGGGAGGCCAGTGCCGCACTTGACACTCCCGAAGGACGTGACCCCTCCCAAGACGAATTTCGGTATCGCTGGAGCAGGGACCCCCGAAAGAAGGAACATCGCTGCGCCCCCACTGTCTCCCGAGCACGTGTCCGTTCCCTGCTGTCCTCCTGCACACAACTGCATCTTCCCGTCAAATACGATACCTCTAGCCTTGTACTTTTCGGCACAGGTTGCATCGTCCACGATGGGAACATCCGCCTGCAGTAGCACCTCAGAACCTTGCGATTTCTTCTCTGCACACCGAACATCAGAGGACAAATTAGTTGTGAAGACACTACAACTTTAACAAACCTTTGACGGTTAATCATCCTAGTTCTCTATCCTCCAACAAGCACCTTGCATACAAGTGCTACAAAGAGTAAGGTGTAGGGCTCTTAACCCTTCCCGACCTAGCGGGACTCAGGAGTACCGCATTTCCCCCGCATATTTTGTAGGCCTGGCAGCGCCTTGGCGACCTTGAGGGACTTCTGAGTCCCAGTGAACTTTTTTTTAATTTGTATTTTTATGGCCTATGACGATTCATAGTGGACATTTGAATGAGGAATACTTGCTTTTAAATCACTTATATTATTTTAATTCAGGTCTGAAAGGATTAAAAGGAATCTAAAAATTTGGATTTTTAATTGGGAAAACACTTTTTCCCCAACGAAAGTATTCCGAATATATTTTAATTTAGTTTTATACAGAGCGGGCCAAAAAAAGTACCCAGTTTCAAAGTGCAAGTACAGGATACCCATAAAAGAGAGGATTGAATAATGAAATGCATTAAGCAGGCAAAAGGCGACATTTTTGTAAAACTAATTAATCTTTTTTCTGTTGCAGGTTCAAAATGCCTCAATTAAATTTACAACAAAAAGTCTTTATCATTGAGGCGCATAACAAATCTCAATTCAACCTTTTCCCCTCTCATTCGATCGGAATTCGTTGTATTGTCCTAGCTGTTGGCACCTCACCTCCTGGAAACTCTTTTCTGAATGCACGCTGCGTCACTCAGACACTCAATAGTTTCCAGGATGTGAGGTGCCAACAGCTAGGACAATACAACGAATTCCGACCGAATGGGAGGGGAAAAGGTTGAATTGAGATTTGTTATGCGCCTCAACGATAAATACTTTTTGTTGTAAATTTAATTGAGGCATTTTGAACCTGCAACAGAAAAAAGATTAATTAGTTTTACAAAAATGTCGCCTTTTGCCTGCTTAATGCATTTCATTATTCAATTCTGTCTTTTATGGTTATCCTGTAATTGCATTTTGAATTTGAGTACTTTTTTGGCCCACCCTGTATTTGGCATAGGGTTTTACAGCACTCATATGTTTCACTTTTCTTTCCTATAATAGCATGAAATGCCACGATGAAATTCACAGTCGATTTTCTTAAATTCTCAAAAAGCCTAATGCCTTCTCTTCATCACAGCTCAGACTTGACAAGATCCATGTATTAATATTTGGAAAAATACATGAATCAATGGAAAAACCTGACCATATAGGATTCAGCGGGGAATATCGGAATAATGATGGGACGGTGGTGTGGTGCACTGCATGCCATTAGCGCATAGATATGTACAATCGTGTCTTGAAAGATTCTTCAAAAGTGCCGCTGTAAGAGGAGCGACTTTGCAACATGACTCAGAAAGTTGTCAGTGAAAGTGACTTGATTATATAACATGCCTAAGTTCATGATTCGAGAATTCTTTTCAGTCTTGTCCCAATTACTTTAAGGAATTTTTCAATGTAAAATATGTCGTTGGCTGTAGCCAACGTTTATCGGCACTGCGGACTCTACAGCACTTTTTAAGTCTTCGACCACAAGCTGGACAGACATCACTGAGACGTGTAACGAGCCAAGTCTTTGATACTTGGTAAACTACCAAATTAACAAAAAAAATTCAACGGTTATGCATAAAATGCAAAGGAGAAAAGAAACCTGTCTTCCCCCATCCGATGACTTTGATAGGAAGGTTCCGATCCAGTAATTCCTTGTCACCCAAGACCGGCAGACAAATGGGCGCGATGTATTCTGCAAACAGATTGAGAAATGATTCTTTTGATGTTGTCGCTACGAAGAGGAAGGAGGAGTGGGAGGAGAACGGACTTGTGACGTTCAATTCGTCCTGGAGAACGATAATGGCGATATCATTGTAGAAATTGGGCCGACCGACATAATCCGGATGCGGGATGATTCGACGGATCCCAACGTCACGATGTTCAGATTCTCCCACCCTCTTATAGTTGTGCTCTCCCACTCGCACAAACACTCTGGAGATCCGGAGAGAAAGAAATTCTAACTGCAGCAGGGGACATGACATTGAAAGAGATTTAAAGACAATTACAAGTCCTCGAGTCGAAGAGCCTCATCGAGGACACAATGGGCTGCTGTGATCACATGACGGTTCGAAATGAGGGTCCCTCCACAAAAAAAGGACGTGTTCGTTGACGAGCGGTTCGTGTCTACAATCCACAATGAACAAAAAGTGCAAGTATGAATAAAGGGATGTCAATAAGAGAGTATACGAGGTATGTAAGAAAAAAAAGTCTATTCGGCAGCAAAAGACACACTTGGTTGAGGACAAAAGATTAGATGGATGGTGAGAGGCAAGAAGTCAAAGAGAGATGTGTATACCTGGCCTCTGGCAGGTCATTGGTGGGCTAAAGGTTTGTGACACTCTTCAGTGTTGCCAGATAAAGGACAGCACCTTTCAGTCAGCTGAGAGAGATCCATTAGGATCCCGCTTCACCTGATTGAACGAAAGAAAGTCGGCAACTCTGATTTTCAAGGAAAATTCCTCTATTCGTTTATGTCTTAGGTGAGGCGCATAAGTGATATTAATGACCGAGGCTCCGCCTTGACCTGTCACATCGAAGCCGCTAGTGTGTCTTTTGAGGTCGAATAAGACTATACATGAGGGTGGTGTCCTGACTCGGATAAGCCAGAAGGGCGGCCCAGGGAAACTGTCCGGGTTGAGTTCTCCGACCACCGAAGATTTTCAGATCCAAAATCCCCTCCTCCACACAGAGATTCCTCAAATACTCCCTCGTGTTCACGCCAGCTGGGTTACTGGGCACCGAAGGCACTATCGAGGGCACAACCTGTATGTTTTCGGATGTCGATGGACAACAGAAGAGAGGGACTCGGTCTTTGAATCCACAGTTGGATTCCGTGAGGAATTGTTTCACAGCCGGTTCGCTTCGTCGTTGGAGCAGACGCATGATCTCCGGGCATGCCAAATGGGAGATGCACCTTCCGGATGATGATTGAGGTGGTGGTGTACGACACGAGTTCCCTTCTACAACGGCTAGTAACGAGGATGTTGTGGTGGAAGGTCGCGTAGTCACTTCGGAAGGCAGTGACGTCGAGGCAGATAGTTGCGACGTATCGTCCGGGAACACCACTTGACCCGTAGTACTTAGTAGTACTGTGGATAGTAAGAAAAGGGCGAGCATGTCTCCTCACACGGCCCGCTGTCCACTGCCTTCAGTGTCCTTGAAAGAACGTCACTTAAATCCCGCACCTCGGCTCACACCATATTCCCTGCTCATTTGCTGTGACCACAATTCATGGCCCTTAGGCTATTCCTCGGACGCTGGCTTCATCCTTCGCATAAAATCTCTCTCCGCTGACATTCTCGGAAGGAGGAAGACGAATGAGCGGCCTTCATAAATAAGCTTTTTTTTTTGTTGGGCGCTTGTAGAAGAAACATGAGTCAGGAAATAGGGTGTTTTCTTTCAGGTATTAGGGGATGGCATAGAGAATGTCCACTGAGACTTCAGATCCCTTACGCCGAAAAAAAACCTGACCTATACCATAAAACTATATCTTGGTTTTCAGTCAGTCATTTTTCAAGAAGCCACTTGGGCGAGGGGTGCCCAAAGTTCGACTTGCGGTCCCCCCATACAGCACTCCGTGTTTTGGTGAACATCCACTCTGGGCACCCCTTGCCTAGAGGGATCCAGGAAGCTGTTATTACGTTTGCGCAGCAATTACCCATGTTCTCAGCCCCAGGGTATGTGTTGCAGGTGACGTACCCTCACACATGGACTTCCACTCCTCCAGTTAAGGCATCTTTGCGATTTCTGGGTCGTTGATTTTAATCGGACTCCCTATTTAATAGGGAGTATGGCTCATAATTATAATTCATTGTCTCACCAGTATTGGTGAGACTTAAATCTCCTGTGACCTTTAATAAAACACTTATGTGGCATTTTTCTAATGGGATATAATAATTGATTCTCATTCTATATAGTAAGAGAAAAGGCATGATTTTGACAATTTGAATGCAGTCTATAAGTCCTTTCAGAGTGAGATTGCCACGAAATGACATGACATGGCTTCATTTCTTGGAAGTTAGTTCATTCTTTTTCTTGCTTTTAAAACCTATTGATCAAGTATTCCAAATTTTCCAATCTAACATCCTTTATTTGTCTCTTTTTTATATAATGGGTGGGAGATAATCAAAGTAGATCTGGGAAGAATCCAGCGTGCAGAGACAAAAAGGAGAAAGATGAAATAGAATTTCAGTACCTTTTAGCAACCTAAGCTTTTTTCAATTCCATCCAATATATTAATTACTGTAATGAAGTTCCTTTTGCCCTTGTGGACTATTAAGTACAATAGGCCTACAATTTTTACATGTGAAGTCCTGTTTTTGGACAATCCATGGAAGCAGACAGGATGCTATCACAGGAGACACACCGTGACATGTGTCCAAGACACAGTCAATCATGATAAAGAATCCCAAAGATTCATCTGACATAAATCATATGTTTGATCACAAATTTGTGTCCTTCAGGTTGTGCCCAAAATCATCTTCCATCACCATACTGGCCCAAAAAAAAGACAAAGCAGATTCTAGCAGTTCGTCCAGAAGTCAGATGTGACACGAATGAAAATGAGAAAAGAGCATGCGACCAATTCGAGATCAATAAACAGTCCACAAGGAAGGAGCAGAACAAGAACTGCAGGGTCTGATATCATGAAACAAACACCATGTGATTGCCCTTCAAAGGTGCCCAAGTGTTCAGAAAAAGAGAGGAAGGCAGGAACCAGGTGAGATGATTCTACTTTCATGTGTTCAGAAGATAACCACACACCTGAGTTGGCATAACATTTGACTGGCAGGAATTTCTGGCACAAGCAAAAAGAAGGGGGTGGGATATGGAATTTTTCTCCTCCATCGATCCAGCTTCACCTGGTATAATAGACTCGATAGTAGAGGGTCTTGGATCGCCAGACACTGTAGGAATTATCAAATTTGAGCAGATACACTCCTTCTCCAGGATAGACATGATTCCCAGCGTAGACCTCCTCATGACAATCTCTTCGATATGTCGGGATGACGACTGTGGTTGGGGGTCGATCCTCTCTCTTCGAGCCACCACTTCCCTTCTCTACATCTCCTGGCAGGTCTCCTTCTCTCACCTCCTCAGCTAACCACACACCACCGTAATTTTTTCAAAATCCACTTTCCCTCACATGCATGCAATTCATTGACAATATCAGCATACCTTCCTCATCTTCTTCATCATCCTCTTCCTCAGACTCAGAAATGTGTACTGACACTTGGCTGGTTGGAGACTTGGTCCATTCAAAATAGAGACCAAATCCAATATCATAGCTGTCTGTAGCAAATTCCCAAAATAGACAAGCTCCATCTTCATGTGTTGGCACTCTCACCTGAAAAATCATAAATGAAGTCTTTCATAGAGTGTTATACATCCACAAAAATATGCACCCAGTTGCAACAAGATGAAATGAGGAACTAACAGTGACGGTCTCCCCATGTCGCACTTTGATGATGGATTCCGAAGATTCTTTCCTAATGAGCTCTTTGAACTCATTGATGTCTTTTCGGGTCCACATAGAAGCTGCCTGGATGGGGGGAAGTTCTTGGAAAGGGGAAGATACCACAGAATGAAACTCAAGGTCATCAATCACTAGCTCTGCAAAAGAGTCCTCAACAACCGCCTCACAATCCTTAGAATCTCCCTCATCACACTCAGGCAATGACTTCTCACTCGAGACATAAGTATGAAAATTATGTTCAGCTAAGGATATTTTCTTACTGGGATTAACGTCTACTTTTACATGGTACCTCTTTGTTTGAGGTGTCACTTGCACAGATTCTTGTTTGAAGTCATAAAATAAAGCTTTGATGAGAGAAAACATGAGCAGATCCGAACATATGACGAATGCCACTTCATGACATGGATGATGAGGCAGATGCATCAATGACATTGAAAAAATTCCCTCGATTCCAGCTTTACCTTCTCCCTCGCTTTCCCCTTCATCCTCTTCGTCGGTGACACCATCCTCTCCGCCATCCACATTATTATTATTAGCCACCGGGGTGGAAGCGAGTACGGAGGATGGACTGGAGATCCCATTTTCCATCTTTTTCTTCCCCTTACTTCCACTTCCGCCATCTCCAGGAGACTGCTGCTGATACACCTGTTGCATGTATTGTTTGTAGTGCTGCTCCTGGAGCTGTCTGATCAACACAGCTTGCTGGGGAGAAAAAAAGAAAAAAAAAAACCATATCAGTATAGGCCTACCGAGCGAAATGAGCGGCGATGAATTGGAAAAAAAGAAAGAAAAGAAAGCATAAAAACAATAAATCATTTTAAAAATAATGAAAGGGTTCGAAAACTCTTTTTTATCTTTTCATAGCGATCCTCAAAATCTTTTTTAGGATAGTGAACATTTCTTAGTCTAATTATTAGGTTAGTCCAATATTCCTAGCTGTACTGCACACCGGCAATAAAATTTAATAAGATAAGAGTATTCACCGTGTACAAATGATAGAATATACGATATAACAAGTACGCCTATCCTTCATGTATCATTCAACAACAGCTGACTCGACGGGAACCATACCTGTTCAGGATTATTGGGATACTGGGCTTCTGCATAGGCCTTGAATTGATGGTATGTCTGCTGATTCAAGGCCTCCTGGATCTTCCGTCTGGAAAAGAAAAGAGCACAATACAAGGATATTAAATCCTCTCCGCATTACTGCCTTCTGGAACCTGTATATAGCACCATCAATGGAACGGCGAGGCAGCTGCAGCTGCCATCGATCGGACGGAGGCTCCAGAATCCGGATCGATCAGTAGGGGAGTAAAAGAAAAAAAAAAAAGAAGCTTCCTAGGAAAGTGAATGCGCAGGGCGAGAATCGGAAGAAGATCCCTTGGGTTATATTTTTCCTCTCCCACCACGAGGAAAAGGAGACTCACTTTTGAATTTCTTGCCTCTGACGATCTTCCTCTTCCTTCCGCTTAGTTTCTTCCTCTCGCTTCCGAATTTCTTCCTCCTGTTGCCTTTTCTCCTCATCCTCTCGCCTAATTTGTCAAAAGGAGATGAAGCAAGAACAACAAATCGAATTGGAAAGGATCTCGACTTAATATTTATCCGGGAGACGTACGCCTTTCGTTGCTGCTCCTCCCGATCCCTACGGTGGGCCTCGACGTATGGTCGGAATAAGGGACAGGTTTCGTTGATGAGCTCGATGAATTTCTTCATCGCCTCCTCTTTAGACATCTCTCCAAGGCTCTGCCACACTTGTCTGCAACAACACCAAGCATTTTTATTTCTCATTTTTCTCATGCAACAATTCGGAAGAAGACGTTATGGGATGCCTTTCTCTCACCTTCGGTCATAACCGATGACATCAAAATACCCGACGGGAGGCGAGACTTCTGGGCTGAATTTTCCATGAGACACTTGCTGGGTGTAGGCCACGAGGTGAACTTTGTTCATATACGAGAGATGTACCGCCTTTCCCTCTTTCTCTGCGCCGAGTGAAAAAAAAACAAACAAATGTAATCAGGGTAGCAGGTTTCCTCGACTCTACTTTCACTTAAAGTTTGAATTGAATAAAAAAAAAACTGGTTTCACGATCGAACAGGGAAAAGGAGATAAGGAAGAGGAAAAGGATAAAAAAAAATACTCGGAGTCTGCGAAAGCTTTCATTAATTGTAATTCATTTCCACAGAGGGTTACTTTGGCCTAAGAGGGATAGCGGGGATGAATAATAGATTGCAAAACTGTCCCAAAAAGATGTCGACATATATTTGAGGTCAAATGTTGATTCCAATAATTTATGGCTATCGTATCTTGACAAAAGTCCAGGTAAGGAAAAATTCCTGAAACTTTCCAGCCGATCGTCACCACAATTGCTATTAGGACTTTAACTCCAGTATCGTCATGCTTATATCACTGATGAGCAAGCAATTTCAAGATAAAACTCACAGGTTTGCTCTATTGTTGCTTGTTCACTCGAAACTACTCCTGAATTTAATATTAAAAAAAAAACCTTGCACACAGCAGCACGAAGCATATAGGATAGAGCAATTAATAAGACCTGAATAATAATAAGACATCGTTTGACTCCAAAAGAAGAAGCACTTGTGCAGTCTTTCACAGATTTATGGCCTTCATGCCCAAGATGTTAATAATCAAGTACACTATTTTTTAGTTTTTACAGTCAGCATCCAAAACTATACAAAAATGGGGAAAACCATTATCCAAACTGAACGTTTTGAAACAAGCTATTTCAATGAAAAAAATTTTTAAATTTAAAATTACATTGTTTTACCTTTCCTCTCATCAAGCATAATTTTGCCGATCTATTAAACCAGTTGAACAGCATAGATTGTCACTGGCCATCATGTCTTTGATACTGTGCTTTCAGGGAAGAACAGCACGAGTTGGGAAAGATGAAGCTACATGAGGTGGTACAATCAGTTTGGAAAAGCCACACTGAATGGGAATGGAAGGAATTTGCTTTGCTTTTGTACTGGGCATGGCTTGACCATAAGCAACACCTTCTTTCAGTACAAGATTTTCACAGGTATACTTGGCACAGAGGGTCTTACAGTCAGATTGAAACTGGGCCAATATATTGCCGAAAGATTACCTGATCCTTTTGGTGGGCTCGTGGGACCTGTTGATGAATATGAGGGTAAAAGGTGGGGCTGAATTGAACACCATTTAGTTACTAAATTCCATATGAAGGTGAACCTCAGAATGGGACAGACAGCCACACACGCTGCAAAACGGGCAAGGTGGGAAGTCCTTCTATAGGGAACTCGTGACAAGTTGACAAGAGTAATAGACAAAAAGAATTCTAACTACCTTCCCAGACACCGCGTCATCAAAGACGGAAAAGGGAAGGTGCTGATTGCAGATTCGGGAATACTTCTTCTGAGGTGGAGGGAACTTTTTGAAGGGCTCTTGAACCCGCCCACAGTGGATTGACAAACTCAACTCAGAGTCATTAATGGAGAGTATTCCCACAATGTTGCACAGGATATTTCTAGCCTGAATAGGAAGTCTCCAAATCTGGATGTAATGCGGGCAAAGGCACTAAAAGCAATGGGCATCGATGGGTACTTGTGGCTGCAAGTGTCAAAATGCATGGAGATCAGGAATAGGTCCCATGGAGTGGCTACCCTCTGAGGTGGTATATCTCTTCCAGAAGAGAAACGTGAAGGGGTGCACCGATCACAGAGGAATTACTCTCCTCAGCATCCCTGATAATCCACGTCAAGGTGCTGGAAAAGAGAGTGTTCGAGAAGCCATCCCAGAGATGCAACTTTCGAACTAGCACCATGAACTAACTCTTTACTCGCTATCAAATCCTCAAGATGCATTGACCGTATACCAAAGAGCTTTACTCATGCTTTGTGAATCTCAAAAAGGCATATAACCTTGCGCTTCGAGCGAAGGTATGCATGATTTGCATTCAAGTGGGCAGGATTGGTTAGTAGGGCAAAATACCTGGTGATGGACCTGGTCCCAGAGATGGGTCACAACGCATGAAAATTCAGACAATTAAGCTTGCACATCCGTGCAGTGACGCAGGCTACCCACATGCAAGCATAAGTCACCTCAGAGGTGTGCATGCAATATATGCTTGGTTGTTGGAATTTTCTTACACCATGGCCCATCATTGAATACAGGCTCTTGAAAGGTACACCACTGGGTATTTTATCCTATTCTTTCTCAGTGTGCATTAACTTCTCTCTCCTTTTCTGTTCTTCATGTGCCAGAGTCAATATCGGAGTTGAAGTAAAAATATTTACTATTCTTTTTTACTTATTTGTTGATTTGGGATGGAACCCTTTGATCAACAGTAGTGAAAGCAGCAGTAGTGAATTTTGGGCTATAAGAATAGTCCAAAATAATGTTTTCTTCAGAGATTCATTTAAATATGTGAGTTGCAATATATGAAAAACTTAAATTAAATAAATATGGGCTGCCACATTAATTATGCAATGGAAAAATAAGATGGTAAATATTACATAATTTCCTCTCTTTAGGCAAAAGAAAGGGCAAATTGCAAAGAAGACAGAGGAAAGGTTAAATTCTAAGAAGGCAAAGGAGATATTTTCTTATGCACTGTCATCTGGCAGTAGAAAATATATATCATGATGTCATTCTTCATGGACCAAGATTTTACTGTAGATACCACAAAATCCAATTCCTTCCAGTTGATTATCAATTCCAAATTTTTTAACACCTCATGGGTATTGATAATGAATGAAAAATACATCATAGCCTAAGGAAGGTTTATTAGAAGGCAATGAGATATGTGTGTGTAGCAATGCCTACTTATATTTTTATTGGTTATTATTAATTCTGTATTACAATTTAAATCCAAACGATTCATTATGTTAGCCTACTGAAATAAGACAATTTGTCAGATCAATAAAAAATACAATTACTCTGGCAGGGCACAGGACCCAGAAAACTCTCTAGGTCTAAATATTTTTCAGAAGTTTTCTGACATCATTATATGAGCTATGGGGTAGGGGTTGTACTTGCCCATAAGTCCTCATTTAATTGTCAAACCACTGGCTTTTAGGACAGACCAAATTAAGAGCAAATGGTGTTAGTTCTGAATCACATAGCAACACAATTATAATGTTAATAAGTGACTATAACTTCCCAATGAAACTGAAATAGGCAAGTATGACTCAGGCAGTGGAATACACAGGATCTTTGGGAAGGAGATAGGGTTTAAAGTTAATTGACAAGCATAGGGATGGAAGTGTGATGGGGCTGATAAGTAGGGTAACTTGTAAATGTAACTTGTAGGGTAAATTACCTTGATATTTGCACAATAGACAAGTGCTCTCATTTCACAACTTAATTGCAACTACTATTACTATTATAATTATTATAATTACGATTTTTAAGTACAATAAACTAGTTAAGCCTATAGGAAGAAAGGACCCACACATAATATAAGCCTCGTACAACATGTAAATTCTCAGGGCTAGTTGGATCCATCCTCACATTCTCGATGCATCCTACTCATTCTGCATCTAATAGTATATCTCCAATGTTATATTCTTTATAGTCAGATTCTCTGTCTGAGGGATAGGTTTGTTCAATTGAAGTTGAGGAAGCTGCAGAGACTAGGAGTCCTTGGCTAACATTGTTCATCTGGTTGCCACCTTTTACGAATAGAGCAGTGACAGACTTTGTAAACTACTTCCTTTAGTCTGCATGGTAGTTAAAAAAAGATGAGGCCAACATTTGCTGCCCCAGTGGTGATTTTGAGTTCAGTCATTCCTCATAAACAAATAGGCTATTATTTTTTCTTCTGTTTCTAGCCTTCTTAATTCCTGCAACTAATGAGTTAAAAGCAACACATAATATAGGAAATGAGTCAATAGGTTTAGGAAGTGATGACAGTGTGGTTTTTTAAGCAGACATGCCCATATTTTTTCACAATTACCTTTCTCAAAATTTTCAAATAAATAATAGGTCCCTTGGCACACTAGCCAGGACCAATGATGTTGGAAAAAAGGTTAGCCATTGTCATAAAGAATGTGGAAAAATGAGTATTAAAAAAAAAAGTGCCATATTATGGCTTTCACCACTTCCTATTTGAGAATAGATGATCCAATAATACAAACAAGAGCCAAGAGCAGAAAGGTGTAAATGTGGCAATCGAGAAGGCCAACCCCATACATATTATAGCAATGCCACAAGAAATTGAAGTACGAGTGATTTCATGCAGAGCTTTCAAGAGAAATAGAACTAACCAGTCTTTCCTTGCAAACCTCCAGGACCAATAACTGTCAATGACTTGATGACAAAGTCTGCTTCAAAAAATTAATCTTATGGCTCAGGCGTGCCAACCTCAACTAAAAGGTACATTTCTAGCTAGCCTGCACCTCTGATATGCGATATTTGCTTCACAAGTTCGGTCTAACGTTAGGCCGTGGCCTAGCCGATAATGACCATCACCTATGTTAACCACAACTCACCTTTGAAAAACCGCACCGCAAGCTTATAAACTCCACGAAGAGGAAATCCCCAATCTTCATATTCTTCTCGATCATCATCCTCGGGTGACTTGAGAGAACTTTCTTCGGAATTCAGGCTCAAACGATCAGTTTGGAGATCAGAGTCGGTGGCTGCCATCGTCACGGAGGACACCATATTGCCCAGCTGGCGACGTGTCAACGCGGTCGATCCCGAAACAGTCATCATTAAAAGAAAGCCATTTTTCCTAATTCTGTGCGGCAATGTAACCCAAGTTATTCACGTTAAATAGTGTTTTAATTTAATCATCGTAGATATACATTGAAACAGTTGATGTAGTTGCGCACGGGAAGTTCCATTGAGGACAGTGATGCTTTTCTTGAATCACCCAGAAGCAGCATGGCCTCCCACGTGAGAGGAGTGTGGCGGAGTTGCGTCTAATGTTTTTTTTTTTTTTTTCGGTTGATGAGAAAAAAACTTCTCCGACTAATCTGCGTTTACAGTCCAAAGATACCTAGATGGAGAGAAACAGGAAAAAGTGACCCTGAGTGGTTAGCGTAGAAGTATTCCTGCCAACACTTGGTCTTTTTTGGCTAAGCCAGGCCTACAAGGCAGTCGACTGGTTCATCAGTGATTTCCATGGCTGCTAGTCCTATATAGTGGGATGCCTAGGCCAAGGTAGTTTATTGTCTCATTATAGTGACATTTTTTAGCTTGTCCATGTAACACCCATCTCTGACTGAACCTTGTTTAGTATGACCTAAGGTTGGATTGGCATCTATATAGGTTTGTATCCTAAGAAAAATAATATGATAGTCTCCTTAGTACCTGTAGGAATTTATAAGGCATTAAGAAGTAACAAATAACCTGTAGCATGCATTAGCATAAGCCTATGTAGAGTTGAACTCAGAGACTATGATAGAACTAATACATGTACAATGAGCTCAATTTGGTTTGCATAGTTGCTGAGCTGGAGGAGCTAACACTTACACTGCTTTTGGATTGGGTTATATCCCCCTGGTTAGTGGAAAGTGGAGAAAGCAATACTTCCAAAGGATCTGCATCATCAGTTGCTTCACAAAACCATCTGTGAGATGTCACTGCCTACAATCAATGGAAATGCTCCTATAGAGGAGTGAGAATTTAAACTGAAAACAGTGTAGAAGGAAGAAGTTCCTGCTTCAAAGATGCTTCTGCAATAAACATGTTCATACATTCTGATGCTATGACACCATGGTCAAAACCTAGGTGGCAATGGTTATGGAAGTGCTGCACACCTTGAATTTAATAGTTTCTACTCAATTTTCTCACATTTCTGCAAGATCGAAAAATAAGCGTAAAAGCGGGAGTATTATTAAATTCAGAGTCTTGCAGAGCTCTGGCATTGTTAAACCACTGTGCTCAAGTCTGATTCTGATCATCAAGAGCTCCTCTGAGCAGTGAGCAATCCAGAGTGGCATTGCTGCTCAGCATCAGCTGCTGCACACAAAAAATATTGCAAGCTACCTTGGGAACAAAGGGAGCCATGATCCTGAATGAACCTTTTGTTGAAGGGGCTCAGAGTTTGTAGGCAGCATGGCTTGAGTGTAGCTACATGCACCTCATCTCTGAGTGAATTAAAATGCCTATCATTTGGGCTAAGCAAGTCATTCATACAGATTAGAGGTCTACCATCGCTTTCAGGTCTTTCGTGCTTTCGGGTCTACTGGATGGAAACCTTTGAATATATAACTTTAAAATAATTTAACATGCATACATGAAAAGATTTTGCTGATATTTCTAGGAGTATCATAGGGGAGAAGTAAAAATGTATTTGGAATGCTGCAGTGAGATGCACATTTATAAATGCACTGATACAAAAATGTTGCCAGCATTACTATACCAGGTAGACCATTGCCTAGCTCTGATCTGAATCACTGCATCCCTCCATAGTGTTTTCTAGACTTATCAGCCAAAAGACTCTACACAGTAGAGTGTTTTCTCCTTGACAGTGTGCAAACCAGTGAACCAATCACCAAACAAGGTGCCAAAAAGCTATTAAGGTATACTGTAAAAGTATCTGGCTTTGCCAGGTATCTGTTTCACCAAGCCCACTAATACTCTGATACTATTCCAGTATCGGTGCATGTAAAAAAATAATTTGATTTTAGTCAGATCATGGGTGGGATCAGCTTGTTGGGTCTTCCAGGTACGCGTACTGTGCATCCTGTAATAAGGGGCCGGTACAGCTTCCGCCACCTATTGAGATGTGACCAAAACGTTGGGTTCTTCGATCATCAGTCAGAGCTCGCAGCCTGCAATTGAAGTTAACGTATCTGCTTGCCTATCCTATTTGATATCTAAGGACTTGTCCTCTTGCCTGAGATTGTGCTTTCATATCATGTAGGTTGTCAATAATTTATAGGCGTGGACTGGAGAAGGGACTATAACTGAGCCTGCGACACTCACATAGGTTCGATGACAGCTGTCAGTTATTCTTAATTAAATAGATCAATTAATCCACTCCACAATGGGCCATTGTATACTTATTTCCAGCCAAAATCCCAACATCTTCCCCGCCCCAGCTTTAAGGCTTTATCTTCATTAACCCAGGTTTGGGGTGATGTGAGAGTTAAAAAGAAATGAGTTTTTGATGCTTCTTCATTTTGTCATTTAAGAAATAAGGGCGCACTCAGCCTTTTTTAAAAACTATCCTGAGACAATGAAACGAGATACCAAAGTGAAGAACACCGAAATCCTGAACCCAGGAGGCAGTTTGGGGAAGCATTATTTCAGGTACGTTTCTACAAAAGTGTAACACTAACCTACTTGGGGATCTGAGGGATTTATAGCGATTGTGACATTGAGAAAGTATAGTTTCGAATTCCTTTGAGTACAAATTGACCAGAGCTACAAATAATCTCAGTGATTTTCCTTTTCCAATTCGCCTCAGAACTTTAGCTTTATGGGCCTGTATGACTTCAACTGCGGGACAATATAACTGACATAGTTACATGACCTTGAAAATCAGAAAGCATTCAAATTAAAATAACCACCATGTTTTGGGAGTAAGAGTATCTTTAATGCTTTCAAGGTTCCCCGTTTGGGTTGGGTTGTCGAGAGGCGTTTCTGCCCATATTTAGAACCATTTATCCCCATTTGACATCCTGAGTCGAGGGTGTGCGCTCCCGCTACTCCTCCCCATCTATGCTGGGCCTAACCCTCTAAATTGGAATGTTTTTGCTAGAAGCGTATCAATTTACCGCCTAGCTATTATATTGCCGCCCTTTCCCTTTTTTACAAGAGGACATTCAACCTCCTAAACTTTCTATGGAAGGGACAGCCACTGCATCTTCACCCGTTGCATTCCATCCTTTCATTGCTCAACAAGTGAAACAGTTATTCCAAAACTTCAGGCTTACGTAACTTGAACTGGTTCTTCCTTATTCTCTATTGTCATGAAGTTTGAAAAGGCTACCACGCTCCATTTTATCGAAGCCCTTTATCTTAACGCAATAGCTGCCATTCACGGCAAAAACCATTTTAGTATGTTTTTCGTTCATAATTTTTTCTTTACTGTAACACTGCTCGTGAATTTTATTAATATCTGGCAAGGCTGTGCAAATCAACCCATGACTTCCGGCAGTGAATTTGTTGAAAGATTTCGAGACCCACTGGGGGACCATGCGCCTCCTCAGAGAACATCGCCCAGAACCCATTGGTGGGTCATTTGGAAGTCGATGTGTAAATGTCTGAATGAGATCCCCTCAGTACGCTTTCTTTCAGCGCATGCTGTCAGAATGTAGCTAAGCGCTGTTGCATGGAAGTCCATTGAATCCCCTTTTTTTGCAGGCCCCCCTTAGTTGAACACTATTCTCTTATTTGAACCTTACCAATGCCGTGCACAACGGAAAAATAATAATGTGCTGGCCTTTTTTATTATTGAAAATTGAACGACAGATGAACCAAAAATACAATTGTATTTAGTTGTCGACATCGCTTCGTTTGCGAATTTCAGCCTCACATCGATGATAACTCATTAATTCCTCTACCCTATGCTTCCCCAAGCCAATCCTTATTAACCCTTTCCAATCCGTTTCTTCCGCAACGCTACGACCGATGGCGAGTCCAGCTCGACAAATGAATGGAAAGGGTTACTACATTCAGAGTTCCTTTGTTATGACCAATGTAATATTTGCTTTCGTTCTTGATGAAATTGAGCCTTTTTAATTCCAAAATCCTCGTTAACTTGAATATGAGAACGAAAGTGATCCGATCGGCATGACAATCGCGAAGGCTTTGTTCGCTGAACGTTGTCGATTCGCTACAAAAGCTGGACAAAAACCGAGAAAAATGCGGGAAACGCTGCTTTGCGATTGTAAAAATTTGTTTATTATAGCACCTTCCACTGCCTTCAGAGAAGTTTTCCATATTCCTTTCCGTTCCTGTGGCGTTTTCGCGTGCCTTTCCGAAACCCTGCTGTTGAGAGAGTAAGAGAAACGGCCAAGCGCAATACAAGTTAAATTAATTTTTGTGTTGCTATTCGCAGTATGCCTCAAGGGATGAAAAATGTGTTGTCTACAGCTGCTTTTTACCGATCTAAGGACTACTGTAACGTGTGGCAAGTTATGAAGCACATGAGAGATAACTTCGTCGCATGGTGTCAGCATTTTAATCAGCAACTTACCTTTTTCTAATTACAAGAACAGCCAAAAGGAAATACATGAAACGCTCATAGCATTTTCAATAGTACGTCATAGAATTTAACCGGGAGTTAATCGCGAAATATTTTCTGATCACTTTTCTAGATATAGCCACTATTGTTTACCATAGTGATTACTATAGTTACCATTTAATGACTATATTTTAGTGGTAATGTGCTTAAGAACATGTCTCGTGAATTAATATATGGATGTTGTTTTTGTAAATTGACTAAACACTAAATTTATCGACATATCCCAATTTGGCACAGTGACCCGAAAAGGTTAACTTGGACGTTTCCCAAAGTTCCGACAAAAGTATTTATATTCAGAAGATTGTCTTTGAAAACATCTTCCCTCGAAAAGAGGTGTGGACTGTGCGGTTATGCGCCACAGGAAAATTCATAGTCCGTCGGGATCATTATTCATGGATAAAAAATCATTATCTGTTAAAAGTATTAATCAAGCATCAATGATGCCGATTATTCATTTCCGTCTTTCTCCCG